CCACATCAGGCCAGCTGAGGGGAAACTGAAGGTCAGAGGAAGTCCTTTCTGCTCATGGAGCCGCTGGCGGCCAAACCAAACCTGATTTAAAGAGGATTAACCCCCCAGACCTTCTCGTTTTTGAGACAAACCTCCTTCTGCTGTCGTCAAAGACATGGGGAACTCCATGGGCTGCGTCCGGCCCCCCCGGGAGGGAGAGCCCGGCGCCAGCGCTGGCCCGCCGTCGCCAAGGAGACGCCTGCGCTTCAGGCGGAAGCACAAAGGCAACAAGGGCCGGCGGGGGGGGGCCGAGCGGGCCGGCGGCGAGCTCCCGGAGGAGGGTGACCACGAGCAGGAGACGGCCGCCGTGGAGCCGGACAGGACCCCCCCCCTCGGAACAGAGCCGGGGGGAGCCCAGGCCGCCGCCGCTCAGCCCCCCGACTCAGGGGGCTCCGGCCCCGGGGGGCTGCTGGGCGGCCGGGGGGGGCGCCTGGAGGCCTCCCCGGTGCCCAGCCCCGCCTGGAGGGGCGTGTTCTGCCTCCCCGGGGAGGAGGACGCCGTCAGCGGCGTGGTGGACGTGGCCAGCATCCCCAGCCAGACCCCCAGCAGGCCGCCGGCGCCCCCCCCGCCGGGCAGCACCACCCCCGGCGGGGGCAGGGTCTGCCGGGTCAGGGAGAAGGTGCAGGGCGTGCTGGAGAAGCCCTGGATCCTCCGGGCGAGGGGGGGCAGACGGGCGCCGTCCCAGAGGGAGCGGAGAGACATCGTCCACATCCGGGAGGTGGACGGAAAGCTGTGCGTGGTCAGGACGGTCGACCCCCAGGACTCCCCGCTGTGGACGGGGGAGGGGGGGGTCAGGATACAGCTGCCGGAGCCAACCGGCGCCCCCCCGCCACCTGGCGCCCGCCCTCAGGTCCAGGACGCCGGGACCCCGGGGGGGTTCAGACTGGACCCGCCGGCGGCCTGCGCCCAGGAGAGGGCGTCCCTGTTGGAGTCGGGCTACTCCAGCGACCCCCCCATGACCTCGCCAGAGACGGCCGGCACCACCCCCAGTCAGACCGACTGGGGGGGGCTGACCGGCAGCTCCTCAGAGAGGCTGGACTCCATGATGGAGAGTCCTCACCTGCCTCAGGTGTGTCCCGGCTCAGCCCCAGACCCTAGGAGCCCTTTCCTAACAGGAAGTGAATACACCTGTGCGGCTGAAAATCTGTGGGAAATGTTTGTTTGTACGGTTTGGAATGAACGTGTGGATTTATTTTACCTTCCAAACATGTGGGGCTACACCGAGTGCCCTCTCCTCCATACCCAGTCGTCTCTGTCCCCTCTGGGCTGTTTTCCCTGTCTCGTTGAGCCCCGGTGCCTCTTAGCGTGCGGTAGCTCCACAGCTAGCGCTCTGCGTTGCTGACAGATGCTGGAAATGTCCGTTATTCCGCCTCAGTTTGGGTTTCCAGACCCAATTCTGGCGTCGTTAACAGCACCGTGGCAGCCATGACAGTTTCTGTGTGTTTCGTGTTAACTGCCTTCTCTCTCTTTCCGCCCTTGTTCCTGTGGTCTAATCAACACCAAGCAGCCTGCTGTCCTTCCTCCCCCTCCTCCTCATTGTTTTCCTTACACTCACACAAACACACACACACACTTTTTCGACTGACGTCTGTAACGGTGTAATAGGCGGACGGGCTGATTGTTTGAGGCTGGTTTCCTCAAATGAAAGGACTCACACTGAAACCTGCTATTTTCTTGAATTCAACCGGCACCGTGTAAAACTGGGTTTATCTTAGTCTGTCCGGCTCGGGAGGTTTCAGAGGCTATTTCAGGACGAACAAAAGTTTGCTGTAAAACATCAGAAGTGCAGTTGTTCTGGACCCAGTTTTATATCTTTTGTTGTTCACTTTCATTTTACTACTTTGTCAGAAGCCTCCAGCTTGGTGTTCCCTCTTCTTTCAGGGGGCAGCCATGTTGGAATGTTGCTGCTGAGTCACTGGTTGCTATGGTGATTCCCTCCTTTTTTCCAGAGGGCAGCCCTGAATAGAATTTAGTCCCATTTGTTGCTATGGAGATTCCCTCCTCTTTCAGGGGGCAGCCATGTTGGAATGTTGCTGCTTAGTCACCGGTTGCTTTGGCGATTCCCTCCTCTTTCAGGGTTACAGTTACTGCTGTGAAGTCCAGGCTCTTACAGCTGGACCTGAGCCCCCTTTGAGGCTTAGGTCCCGGTTGTTCAAACAGTGGGATAACAAGTGGCTGCACTCTTTAGTCGAGTAAATGCTAGCAAACCAAAGCAAAAACATGAACCAGACTTGTGTTTCTGGGGACTTTGACAGCATAATATCTGCTCCCAGGAACAGAAGAGGATTTCTTTCTGAACATGTCACCATTAATGACCCAGATAATGAAACTAGGTTTGGCACACAGCTGATTGAGAACAGGGTCCAGGTGTTAGACTGGCCCGACTCCATCAGAGAGCTGAGCGGCCGGACGATGTCTTCCCGTTACTCAATGATTTTTCTGTAGGGATGCTTTAAAATGAGCGGCTCTCCCTCTGAGGGGGGGCTGCTCTGCTCTGTTTCACCTTGAAAAGTAGAAATCCTGCAGTAGTCCCTGCAGCGATGCGTTCACATGACGACGGGCGTCCGGCCGCTGCTGAGTCATGACGCTCTCAGGCCAGCAGCGATCCATCTAAACCCCCTCATGGTGCGTTTGTGTGTCTCTGAGCTGGCTGGAAAGGGCAGCCGCTCATCGTATGAGGAGCTGCATCGCTCCTCTTTGCATAAAAAGGGATTTTAAATGCACTTTCATCAGCAAGCCTCGAGAGGGGGGGTGCTTCCACATCCACCCATCAGGCTGCCTCCATCCATCCATCCATCTTCCACCCTTCCCTACTCACGCCCGACTGTAAAGTCAATAACACAATCGATCCATCTCTTTCTGTCTCTTTCATCCTCCTTTCTGCCTCCCCCTGCTCCCCCCACTCGCCCTCCCCTTCCCACTAACTTCAAAGAGGCCATGTTTCTAAAAGAGCCTGGTCCTGCGCATCAGGGGTGGGTGGGGGGGGCAGCCTGTGGCTGGATCATAGCTGCCCTGAATGCTTCCTGAGCTACTCGGCCTGCTAGATGAGTTAGCGACCTGAGCTAAAACATACAGATGAGTTGTTCTCTGCCTAAAAAACATCTTTACTTACGGTGTTTTCATCCTAAAGTCACTTGTGAGTGGTTTCTGTTTGTCGGACGGAAAACCCAGCAGGCTCATTTAGCACCTGTAAAAGCTTTAGTTGTTTAGCTTGTTATCCCCCACATTTAAAGCCCCGGTTAAGGAGCAGACGTGTTTTTTCTTTCCTCCTGATGCATCAACCTCAGCAGCTGTGGAGTGTGTCGTACATTTTGTTAAGTTTCCAACAACTTTCAGGCACACACGGAAATCGTTTTGACATCTGGAAAAAAATAAATTGCATCAATTGGTGATTAATTAATCTCAATCACATTTTTAAATCTGTTTAAGGAAAAGAGCTTCTTCGAATAATAAATGTTAAATGACTGTTTAAATATCTGCGAGTGGTTTTCGATTCACTAATTGAAATGGTGCAACAACCTTTTGAAAGAAAGATCTCAAGCTTTGCTCTCTATATTCTTTATGTAAATGAACAAAAATGGTGTTTTTATCCTCCAACAGCATCATTTTTATGCTAACCTGAGATGAAAATGAGGCAGATTCATCCGCTAACTGCAGTTTACTGTAAGACATGTATCTTGGTTTAGAAGCCGAATGTCTTAACAGCTCCTAAATGCATGCAGGGCTTCTCATTCATGGCTGGAAAATTAACTTTACATGCGCCACCCATCAGGCTGGAGAGCATCAGCCAGAAATGAAAGAGAAAGCTGGAATTAGATGAGTCATTTCCTCTAAAGGTGGTAAAATCCCAACCCCATGGAGTTGCATCATTCTTTTGTGGCTACACTGTTATAAGAGGGTCATTTAAAGGCGAGTATGGGGCCAATAAGGGTTTAATAACACTTTTGCCTGGATTTTTGAGGCTTTTCTTTGCTTGTTTTAGTTAGCTGAGTCTGTCGGAAAGCCCGGCCCTCCACAGATGTGACTCTCTGTGCGGCCTGCTCTCTTCCCCAGGCCCTCCTGCCCCCCCCTCTGTTTTTTGGCCACCGCCGCAGGCTCCTGGCACCGGCCGGACCTTCATACCGCTCCATATTAGCAGCAGAGAAGGAGGGCCGATGGACACGGCAGCCAGGCTCTGACATTTCTGCACGTGCGTCACTCTGCCTTTGGTCAGCGTGGACAAATGGGCCCAAAAGAGGCAAAAACTCACAGATCAGGAAGCTGTTGGTCACTGTGGGGGCTTTAATTTTCCCCGCAATCAATCCGAGTCGTCCTGCTGCAGGAAAACCACCAAAAAACGTCAGGTTTTCTTCCAGTTGGCACATTTAGTCCAAACAGAACAGATCCCAGAGATGGTGATGAACTGAATTATTTTCACACATCTATGGAATTGAGGTTAATTGGTAATATGGGAGAATATGGATACATTTAACCAGAGGATGGGAACAGGGGGAATGTGACGGATGAAACAGGCGATGGACAGATGGAGGCGACGGAGGGGGAGCAGAGTGTTGGAACGAGGGGGTGTTAATCAGTCCAGTTCTCAGGCCTCTGCTCTGGCTTCCTGTCATCCAGAAAACTGAATTTAAAACAAGTCTTTTCATGGTCTGAAGTCCATCTGTGGACCGGCTGGACTCTGATAACCAGGTTCTGGTCTCCCGCTGGGGCCCAGAACCAGAACCAAACCAGGGGAGGGTTCATGTCAGAAAAAATCTGGATCAGTCTTCCTGAAGAGAGACAGGAATTAGCTCTGAATGTTTAAACGTCTATTTAACAGAAGGGACTTTATCTGCACTCTTAATTAAGGGTTTAATCAGTGATTTTTATCTTTATTTTTTGCTTTTAATCTCTTTGCAAAGCACTTTGACATGTCTGTAAAATGAGCCTGCTTCGCCTGAATGAAGATGGACATGTCTCTCGTCCTGTCCAGATCTCAGAGATCTACGTGAGCGGCGAGTCGGGCGACCTGACGGCCAAAGAGAAGCTGCTGCTGTGGAGCCAGCAGGCGACCGAGGGCTACGCCGGCCTGCGCTGCGTCAACTTCACCTCGTCCTGGAGCGACGGCCGCATGTTCAACGCCCTGCTGCACAGATACAGGTCAGCGGGGGGGCGGAGGCCAGCCTGCGCCATGCCAACGGCCGCTAACGCCAAATATGTTTATGTTTATGTTTCTGCTTTTAAAGTTCTGTTCTAAAGTTTCGAGGGGCTTCTAAAGCTGTTTTTTGTGGCCTTTAAATCTTTTTGTGGCTTTTACATTTTTTTTTGTGGCTTTTAAAGCTTTTTTTTAGGGGGCTCTAAAGCTGTTTTGAGGGCTTTTATGTTTGTTTCTGCATTTAGACGCTTTCATCCAAATCGACTCACAAAATAGACCCAATGTTCCAGTAATCACTGTGACAATCAGACCGTCAGAATCAGTGGTGACAGCTTTTAAAGCTGTTTTTGGGGCTTTAAAACTATTTTGTAGCTTTTAAAGCTGCTTTTTTGTGTATTATAAATCTGTTTTTGGGGCTTTATGCTTATGTTAAGAGATAGAGGGAAGCACAGAAAGAGGAGTAGAGGGTCCAGAGGTCTGGAGAGCAGTTAGGATAGGAGGTGCTCTGTGAGGAGGGGGGTCTGTAGGAGTTTATGAAAACAGACAGGGGCCTGCTGCTCTTCTAGGCCTGGTAGCTCCTTCCTCCATCTTGGAACGACAGCTGAAAACAGTCTGGATCGTCTTAACGTGGTGCAGCTCTGCTGGACCACGCTAACGGCCGCCCTCGCTCTGCTTCCAGGCCCGACCTGATCGACATGGAGGCGGTGTCGCGGCAGAGCAACCGCGAGAACCTGGAGCAGGCCTTCGAGATCGCCGAGTCGCTGGGGGTGACCAGGCTGCTGGACGCCGAGGGTGAGCCAGAGTCTAGGGCTGGGCCTCTGCTGGGGCCTCAGTTTAACAACCATCAGACAGACACGTCAGAAAGCAGTCCTAAGATTCAGAAGGCTTTACTCATCCTGAGGGGAAACTGCTGTGATAAAATAAATAAGTAGAATAAAACTGAAGTGCTTAGCACTCATTTAAAGTGGCCAGTGATGAATTATAGCAGAAGATATTTGTAAAAGACAATATATAAGTAATAAACAGAGAAATGAAAAAGGATAAAGTGACAGTGTTTTGGTTACAGTTTCCTGTCCCGGCCAGAGCTGGCCTGAGCTAAGCTCAGTCTTTGTTTCTGTTTTTGGGAAATTCAGCACTCTGAACAACGTTTACATCACTTGGAGCATGGAACTGGAGCATTTCTGGAGGATTTTAGCTGGTTTACAGTAGAAATAAGCTCCTAATTGAACCATTTTAACCATAAAAGTGCTGTTTTTTAGTTTTGACTGAGTGGAAATCAGAAACTGTGGATGGTTTAGCTATAAATTATTTGGTTTAACACATCATCCGGTTGTGAGAAGCTTCCGATGTCGCGGATCTGATCGGTTTCAGACCCGAAAGTGTCTCACAGTTTGTCATTGATCCCTCAGATGTCGACGTCCCATCTCCTGACGAAAAGTCCGTCATCACCTACGTCTCCTCAATCTACGACGCCTTCCCTAAAATCCCGGAGGGAGGAGAGGGCGTCTCTGCACACGTACGGCACATTTCCCTTCACTTCCTGCATCTCCAACGCTTATTTAAAGGATCCCATCGAGGGATGTTGACTTCTCCATTCTCAGCAGTTTTCTCGGCCCGCAGCTTTCAGAGGACATTAATGGGGCAGCTAATTAAATAGAGCTGCAGCCATTTATTATGAATGACGACAGCGTAGAGCATAGAGCACGCGTTTCCATTTAGAGGCTGTTTGTGGCTCTGCCGTGCATCGTTTTTCCTTCCTCTGCCCCTTCAGGAGGTGGACCAGCGCTGGTCGGAGTACCAGTCCAGGTTCTCGTCTCTGCTCCAGTGGAGCCGCCACCACACGGCCCTGATGGCCAACAAGAACTTCCCACAAAACCCCGCAGAACTCAAGGTGAAAGCAACACGCCTGCTGTTAGTTTGGGCCAAAGGCTCTGAAATCATGTGATATCTGCAGAGCTTAATGAATGTGGGAGGTTTTTGTCCCTCAATGAGTAGCTCTGTGTGTTCCTGTAATGTTTATACTCCAGAAGAAGTAAAAGCTCTGCAGCCCAACTGATGTTTTAGCACTAAAACAGAATTATTATTGTAATCAGTGCATTTTCAAATGCAAAAAAACAACAGAAAATACATAATTATTTATTATTAGGAAGTCAGATTCTGTTTATTTCCTGGAGAGAAAAGAGAGTTTTAGTGGTTGGCTGTTCTCGGAGGAGTTCAGTGAGTTGCTGGAAATCCTGATAAGCTGAAAATGGAGAAACACTGTCACACAACTAATAGAAAAAAGACACAAAACCACCCCGAAGAGACCTAAAATGATGACAAAGAGGAAATCTGACACCAAAAACACATAAAAATGGAAACAAAGTGCAGGAGCCGGGTCAAAGTCCACGTGGGACTTAATAAATGAAACTGTCAGAGGAGAGAAAAGCTACCAGAGGAAGAAATTTAAACTGTTATCAGAGCAGAGAGATGAACTTTAAGCCGATTCTGAGAGGAAAAGGAGCGTTTAACTGCTTCTTTTTGGGCTTTAACACTGATATTTCTCTGATTGTTTAAGTTTTAAACAGCTTTTTGACAGTTTTCTAACTTTTCTCCTGTAAATCTGCTCAGCTCTGTGAAATATTTTCATTTCCTGTCAGCATCTGCTCTCAGCTTTGCCTCCTGGTCCCTCCAACATGTGTCCAGATGTTGGCTGCTCAGCCTCCTTTGTGTCTTTGCCCCTGCAGGCACTTTACAACGAGTACGTCCATTTCAAAGAGACCGAGATCCCGGCCAAGGAGGTGGAGAAGACACACATCCAGCACCTCTATAAGCTGTTGGAGGTGAGAGCGGGCGGGGGGGGGGGGGGGGGGGGGGGGAGGCTCGGCTCGCTGTGCATCATGAGACGGGGCTCCGGGGGGAGGTTGTTACCACGGTGGCTGTGCGGGTTGTTTGCCTCCTGAAGCCTGGGCAGCTCCCTCTGTGGCTCCTTTGATGGAGCCCGGCTGAAGCAGCACATGATCGGGGCCAGAGGAGCCCCGTTCCCCGTTTCCCCCTCAGCTGACGCCGCTGTGCGTCGGAGGTGTGACTGAACACCGCTGACTACTGTGTGATCACACATTCGAGGCCTTAAATCAGTGGTTCTTAACCTTTTTTGAGGTACCGAACCCACCAGTCGCATACGCGCATTTACTGAACCTTCTTTAGTGATAAATAAAATATAATTTTTTTCCTAAATTCAGGACATAGGTATGTGTTTCTTTTTTACTGGTGCACAAAATTAGCCGTACATGAACATCACCTTGCTCAGAGAACAAAACCAACACAGCGCATCAACTCACAACAAATTACCGTATTACTTTATTCTGGCCCCAAAAAATATTTCGGCCCAATAAAAGAATTTCAGCCTAATTTAAAATAAATTGGGATTTAAAAAACAAAGAATTGAATTTTTTTTAATAACTTGATTTTTTTTTATTCAAAATTTAATTTTTTTCATTTGGATTCCAAAAATTCCCCCCTTTTCTGTCCAAATAAAGCCACACTAGAGTGGAGCAGCTGGGATAAAGCCCCGCTGGCTGCTCAGAAGTTTTGAAGTCTTTGTTCAGGGTCGTTCCATAAAGCTGGGAAAAATCGAAGGCTTAAATGGCACTGAAATGCAGAAGTCTGCCCCCCCGAAAGGTCTAACCCCTGAGGTCGTTGTCTCCAGGTCTGGATCGAGTTTGGCCGCATTAAGCTCCCTCAGGGCCTCCACCCCAACGACCTGGAGGAGGAGTGGGGCAAGCTAATCCTGGAGATGCTGGACAGAGAGAAGGCCCTTCGTCCGGCCGTGGAGAGGTACCCGAACGCACCCAAACACACCCGGCCGGATCCCTTTGAGGCACGACCTTTGACCTTTGCCCTTTCAGGTTGGAGCTGCTGCTGCAGAGAGCCAATAAGATCCAGAACATGGCGGTGGACTGCGAGGAGAAGCTCACGCTGGCTAAGAACACGCTGCAGGCTGTGAGTGGCCCCACAGGCAAACGGTTTCTGTCCACCTCTCCCCGTTTGAACCCCGTCTGAACCCGTCTCTGTCCTCTGGGCGTGCAGGACATGTCCCGGGCGGAGAGCGGCGAGCCGGTGCAGTGCGAGCGGGAGCTGGCCTGCTACCTGCAGGACGGCGAGGCCGCCATCCGACAACTCAACCAGGAGCTCAAGGGCCTCCGGGAGGAGAGGTACTTCCAGGTGGAGCAGCTGGCCTTCAGGTGAGTCGGAAGAATGAAAACCCCCAGGAGTTAGCATCTTTTCTTTTCTTTTTTTTGCTTAATTTTTATTTACATTTTTTACAACTTACAGATAAATATACATACAAGCCCACATTTGCTGCTCTTCACTTACCATATACTTAAAGCAACTTTAAAAGTATATGCATCAGGTTAAAGTTACACGTAAAATACGTTACATAAACAAGAGTAACATACAAACACAGCTATAAGTGGTAGATTAATAAGCAATGCAAATGAAGATAAATGAGTGAAATAAAATAGAAAAATACTGAAATAAATAAATAAAAATAAGAAATAAAAAATAAATTTATAAAAAGTAATAAAAATAGTAAGAAAATAATAGGGAACATTTTTTTTAAAGAAAAATAATTAAAATCATGAAAATTTTAATGCATTATTGTGGTCATGGCCGCTTTCCATCTGTTGACAAAAATGTATTTTTGAAGCCTCAGTCAATAGATTATTTGCTCCATATGATACATTTCCCAGACCTCTTCTATCCACATAATGTACGTTGGAGAGTCGGGCTTAAACAATTTAAGAGTTAGCTTCTTTTGTGCCCTTTAATGCACAAAGTAAGTCGCCCCTGAGATGAGTTATTTTCACCGCTTTTTCCCTTTGAGCTCAGAAAAACCAAAGGGGAGCACTTATTTATTACCTCTGAGTGGGAAAAGGAGTTGAGATTATTAATTAAAAAGGTACCAGGTTGAATTCCTCCGTGTTTAGTATCCGGTGGATTTTAGAGACGGTTGTTTTTGGTTGTCCAGGTTTCATTAGAGAATAAAAAGACACTGAGACCAGCTTCTATTCTGAGGTCTGACTTCTTACTCTGACCTTTTTGAGCCCTGATGACAGTAAATTATAGAAGAAGTGCAGTTGAAAGGGGCCGGGTTGGATGAGCACCCCCCCTCTCTAAAAC